TTCGGGATAGATACAGGATTTGAGGTAAAGTGTTTTTTCATCTAAATCATGAAAATTATGGGGTCAGTTTGACTTCATCTTATTCAAAACTAAAATTTAAAAAAAAAACGTCCTTCCGAAGCGGGCAATGGGATTTCAATTCCGATGATCGACGGCTTCTTACGGGCAAACCCCACACCAAAAATAATGTCGGCAGGGTATTTTCATGTTTTTGTTATTGGTATATCAATGTTAGACATTTAGAGCAAAAGTAACAAAAATGACGAAATTTGGAGGCAAGACAAAAAATTTAGTTATTCTGGCGCCTGAAGCGTCATTTTACAGAGAGTTGGCGTCTGAAGCGCTAGAATTGGTGTCTGAAGTGTCATTTTACAGAGAGTTGACCCCTGAAGCCCTAGATTTGGCATATGAAGCGCCAGATTTGACGTCTGAAGTGTCAGAACCTAGAACAACGCGGTCTTAAGCAAGTTGGCGTCTGAAGCGCCAAAGAAAACTTTTTACAAATTAAAGCAGTTTGGGACAAATTTTGCCAAATTTTGAACGGGTCACTTGTTCTAAACGTCCCATGAAGTGATTCAATGCATCTAGACACTTTTGAATGTTCTTTTATGAATGGATATGTCTCTTGGATCAATAGACCTATCTTTTAGAATTCAAAAGGGTTGACTCTTGGATAGAATTTTGGAAGAAGGCAGACTTTAATAAAAGAGAAGGAAGTCTAGGGCATCAACGAGGAGAAAGGGGAGTTCGAAGGCTCAAAAGAGGCATGAAGAGAGAGAAAGTCAAGGGTTTGGAGATTTTCTTCTAAGGTTGTAAGAGGAAAGGGAATGTGAGAGATTTCTTCTTCATTACACTTCTAAGAGAAAATTGAGAGTGCCTGTAAAGAGGGAATGTGGTTGAAGAGAACTTCTAGAATTTACTTAGGAAGGATTGTGAGACAAGTTGTGTCTCTTATTTCTTTGTTTTTTGTAAACTCATTTTTATATATGAAATTCATTTTTTGTTATTTCCTTCTCATGAATTTTGAGTAGTCTTCTTTATCCTTCTTCCTATTTTGAGATATGGTTTTGTGAAGAATTAATTTTATTTTATACGGTTTTAAATGTAAAAAATTTATGATGATTTGAACTCTGATCTTCATTTACTTTTCGATCTATCAATTGAACTGTTAAAATGTGTTGAGAAACATATGATCTGAAAGGGCTTTGATTTCTACAACATAGTGAAAATCACATTTGATTCTATGGGAGAGGATGTAATCGATGGGGTTGAATGCAAATAAATATGGAAATATACTTTGTTAGACGTAGAATTGGAGATTTTAAGGTGATAGATTAAAAATTCTCCAATTCGGTCTTAGTGTTTAAAACTAAAGCGAGAATTAGCCTTCAGGTGAAGGAAAGTAGCCATTGGGTGAGGGAGTAGTGGGAACTCTAGAGTGACAGCCAGTATTCTCTCAGCCTAACCATAGAATTAGGGACCAAACTCTGGATTAGTCAAAGTTCTTTATACACTTAGAAGAGGGCAAATAATATGATTGCTCCTATTTGACACAAAACAATTTTATATATTTGTAAATGATTTTAATTTCTTCACAATCCATATATTCATTGTAAAGGGGAATGAGACTTTCTTAAATTTGAACTCTTCATCACAAAAACTTTGTTTAGTTTTCGTAAGTTTACTTTTGAAAGTTTAGCAATTAGTTTAATTAACTTAGTTCTTTTAACTATATTTTATTTAACATGCACTTAATTGCTTTAGATTCAAATTTCATACTTTAATTTTGTAGTTTGAATTGTGCTTTACATTATAGTCATAAGGATTTACTTATAAGCATTTCCAACTTCCATGTTGGATTGATATCTAGGAATCCATTAGAGCCCTTTATTACTTGAGTGATACGTATGCTTACGTTATTATCATGGGATTTGACAATTTAAATATTTTTAAAAGATATAATTATTTTTAATAAAGTTATTTTTGTTGGGGTTACGTTGCATATTTATTATTATAACTCTTGTGTGTATTTTGTAATATTGAAAAATATTTGCAAAAGTAACACACAAAAATCCCCGCTTCATCACCCAACATCACAAAATTCCGCAAGGCTCGCCATTCAAATCTCCATCATCCCAATCAAATTCGCCTTCAAAATATGAATTCCGGTCTGAAGAATATGGGTTCCAACAACATCATAAGACGTATGACCCAGTCTCGACAAAACCTGGAACAAAAACATATAAAATGTAACACAAATTTGATTTGCGAAAAATCATAAGATTTGCAGTAAAAAAATATGTGCATATATAAGCGCATTTACGTACATACCACACAATTTTTATTAATTTACTTATCTAACACATAAACATTCATAGATACATGTTAATCAATCAAATGATTAATATCACATAAAAAATATCACTCTCATTGCCTTTTAAAAGTGAAATATACCTTTCCATGGTTTGATGTTATAAATGTAAATATGAAACTTTGGGTGTTGGATATCCAAAAAAATAAGAATTGTGGTGGTTATGTAAATTTTCTCAAAATCTGTCCAATTGGCTTACAGTCAATAAGAGGAAGAAAAACAGCGGCTTCTGCCTTGAGAGTTGCGAAGAGAAGCACACTCTGAAATTCTAATCCAACAGCTCCTGCCTGTAAAAGTGAGTGAAGAAATCAGTGTAGGCCTGAAACGTAAATTGAGTAAGAGAATGGGTTTTGGTTAAAACCTTCGGAATGCCTAATTTTTCAACTAGTGTAGCAGATAAGAATGTTGCCGCAACTACCATGAAGGCAGATAACCTGCTAAACCAGCCAATGGTTCAGGGACTGACTCCTGTCATATATGAAGAGAATTGACATATTGAAAATATAGCTTAAAATAAGCAAATTACAGCTTATACACAACCATTGTTTGATACCACTATAAGCAAAGTAGAAGAAGCATAACTGGGGGAGTTTGATTGGTACAAATGACAGTAAATATCACAATATAGAAAGAGGCTGAAAAAAAAAATAGCAGAAATTTACCATAATTTAGCAGAAAAGAAAATAACTAAACCATACCATGTTGAATTAGAAATAGTGTCATTATGGACCCTGGCGAAAGGGCAATGTTGAAATACAGGAATACATAAGCCAAAATTGCAGGAAGAATGGGCTGATTTCTATATTCCATCCAGCCATTTCTCATGGACTTCAATCCATTTTCCCCGGAAAACACAATAATAAATCACAAATGTTTGTTTTCATGAAAGCATAATAGGGGCACTTACATACATACCACATAATTCTTATGTGTTTTCACATCTAACACCTAAACATTTGTATTTACATCCACTTTAAGGCATCAACATCACTACCGTTTTAAAGTGAAATACCCGATTTTATACATAGGTTTATGACACCAAGGTGTGTCTGTGTCTTGCATTTTAGACCTGTGACGTTAAATGGCAGAACGCGGGCCCGCAAATTCGACCCTACGGCCTGCATCCTCGAGAGAATATTACCAGCTTTGCCCCCGAACATCGTCTTTACCCTCCAAGCTTCTACCATAGCTTCTCGCGATTAGATTCATGGCTTCATCGACTCTTGTACCTCCTGCAACATTTTGTTTTAAAATGGTGCATTTACATACATATCGCTCAATTCTTAGGTATTTGCATATCTACCTTCTAAACTTTGCTTTTTCAGAGTCATACCACCAAAATTTTCATATCACTATAAAAATGCCACTTTTAAACTTTTGAAAAGTGAAATACACCTTTTGAAGCATACTCAAAGCGGCATATATATAAAAATTGAAGTATAGTTGTTAGTTCTGTAAATATATAAGAATTGAGTTATACATTAATTATTGGGCATTTACATATCAATCAATTGGCGTGTGCCGCTTTTGGTTATTAGGTTATCACCATTGCTCTCTTTAATGTAATGTGTGAAATTTTACGTACGTACAACGTACATACATTCAAGGACAGCAATATGGGGGGCATTCCTTGTTTTTTTTTTCAGTGGATGTATGAACATACATAATATATTTTCGTGTGCATCCTAATAGGGCCATTTACACGCATCACCAAATTCCTATGTATTTACATATCTAAAGCCTCAAGTTTACTTTTTACATTTATACTACTCAAATCTTTCGCATCACATCGAAAGCACCACCATTTATTTTAATTTTTAATAGGTGAAATACACCTTCTCACGCATTGACAAGGTAGCATGTATGTGGAATGGAAATTTAGAAGTTAGATATGTAAATGTATGGGGATTGAGTGGTATGTACGTAAACTTCCATGCATAGTTTCGCATGAAGTCTAGAAATGCAGAAGAATAAAGAAGAGTCTAAAGAGCGTACCTTGCAGAGATGACTGGTGCAGTGAAAAGAGAAGCTAAGCAAGAAGAAGATGGAGCAGTTGCAGAAACTGAAGCTGATATGAAAGGGAAGAAATTATCGTGGGTAAAGCTTCCTCGAACCGACTCGTTTATTTTTTTTTTTAGCATCTGATATAAAACTCCTAATGCAGTAAAAGTTCAATCCATGATATTTACAAGGAACATTTACATACATATTTAAAGACTAAACCTCAATTTTACATGGATGACATCTTACTTATGCATTAAAAAACGTTTTAGAAGTTAAAATAGTGATATTTTTTATTTGATAGGAAAGATTTAGTTCGTACAAATGTAAAAAATGAAATTTTAAGTGTTAGCTATGTAAATACATAGGAGTTGGAAGGCATGTATGCATATAAATGACCCTATTTAAAATTCTAACTCAGCAAGTTTCTAGAACATTCATAAACTATTTTGCACTGTCATTTTTAATCTTGGATATAAATTTCTTGCCACAATTAACACTTTTAACCTTAAAATAATTTGTATTTAAGCAGGTTGGATGGACAAGCACACTTAAGTTGGCATTCCAGAGCATAGGGGTGGTGTATGGAGAGATAGGGACTTCACCTCTCCATGTATATTCAAGCACCTTTACTGATGGAATTAAGGAAAAAGATGACATATTGGGGGTCCTATCCCTCATTCTTTATACCTTAATAATCATACCCTTGATCAAATATGTTTTCATTGTGCTGTGGGCAAATGATGATGGTGCTGGTAAGTGTATTTTTTCTTGCAAATTGTCAAAATAGTATCCCGACCATTTAAATGGTGTTATATATTAGTCCCAAAGTCTTTAAAAGTATCTAATTTATCTCTACACTCT